TTGGACCCAAAGCTTATTCATGAATGGGTTCATGTCAACTTGGAAAGTCTCTAGTGAAGTATCCCAGGGATTTGTCCTTAACCCTGTTCTATTTACCTTTTTGCCTCAGTGACTTATAAGGAGTCACAGAATGTTGTTGTTTAGTCATTTTCAATCCTTTCTGACTCTTTGTGACTCCTTTTGGGGTTTTCTTGGTAAGGGTACTGGAGTGGTTTACCATTTCCTTTTTGACTCATTTTATGGATGAGGAAACTGAGGCAAACAGGGTTAAGTGACTTGCCCTGGGTCACACAGTTAGTAACTATCTGAGTTCCAAATTGAACCTAGGTCTACCTGACTCCAGATCTAGCACCTTATCCACTGGGTGACCTAGCATGCTTCTTAAATTTGCATATGGGGCAGCAAGGTGGCACAGTGGATAGAGCACCAGTCCAAAGGCAGGAGGACCTGAGTTCAAATCTGGCCTCAGACACTTGTCACTTACTAGTGGTGTGACCCTGGGCAAGTCACTTAATCCCAGTGCCTAGCCAAAAAACAAACAAACAAACAAAAATAAATAAATTTGCATACGACACAAAACCTGGAAGAATAGCTAACAGGCTACATGATAAAATCAGGCTCCAAAAAGATCTCAACAAACTTGAATATTAGGCAAAATCTAATGTGATAAAATTTAACAGGGATCAGTATAAAGTCTGATACTTGTGTTAAAAAAGTCAACTTCACAATTACAAGATATGAGAGGCATGGCATGATAATAGCTTTGTGTGAAAAATACCTTTGGAATTTAAAGGACTATAAGCTCAATATGAATCAACAGTGAGACACAGTACCAAAAAAGGTAATGAATGTGATCTTAAGTTGCATTGAAATGTGTCCTCCCCAGGACTAGGCAGATGACATTTCTGCTGTCCTCTGCTCTGGCCAGAACACATCTGGAATACTTTATTCAATTCTGGACAACACATAAGAGGAAGGGCCACTATTAAACTGGAAATTGTTCAGAGAAGAGCAAACAGTATGGTGGAGGTCCTCAAGATTTTGCTATACAGATAGTTCTTGCTTTACGTAAGTGGACCATTCTGTAGACTTCTACATAAATTGATCTTTTTGTAATGCAAATTTGCCTGCAGATGCAGGGAAGGGAGGACAGAGAAGGGAAAGCAGGAGGAAGAATATGGCCCAGGCCAGACACATGGGGGCCTGGGTGGAATTAAGAACACATGGGGAACAGATACGTGAGGCCTGGACATGGACAAAGAAAGGAGAGGGACAGATATGCGGTACCCAAGCATAGACGGATGGCAGATAGAAACCCAGTCTGGACAGTTAGACAAATGGGTGTAGTGGAGCAAAGGTTTCCTCTCTCAGGGTGCAAGTCTCAAGCAAAGCCCACAATCCACAGCCGTGACCTCCCTGAGAGTTTGTTCTCCTGCTTTCACTTGGAGGTTTTTTTTTTTTTAACTTTTTTTGGTGGGGAGGTGAATGGGAGGCTGTGGAGCCCAAGGCAAAGGGGCAGGACCAGAGAGAGCATGCAATACTATACAGTAAATTACATAAATTTTTTTTAGAACATAGATTTCTTTCAGAATTTGAAAACCAAAGGATTCAATGTGAGCATGATAGCTGTCTTCATATATTTATAGAGCTGCTATGTATAAAGACACTTATTTTTCTTGTGTCTAGAGGTCATAACCAGGAACAACAGGTGGAAGCTGCAAAAATGTAAGAAAAACCTTACTAAGAATTGAAAAGCCCCAAAGTGGAATGTTAGGGGATAACAGGATCCCTTTTACTAAAGGTTTTTCAAGAAAGGCTGGATGACCATTTTTGAGGGATCTGTAAAGGAGATTCTTGTTAGATTAGATGAATATCTAAAGCCCATTCAAAAGTCTACATATCTAGCCACTATTTTCTTATGAGCCCAGGACTATATCACCAACTATTTGCTTAGACATCCCCACCTGGATGTCCATTAAGTATCTCAAAGTCGATTTGTACAAAAGTGAACTCATTTCCTTTCCTCTAAACCTACCCTTACTTCACCCTAACTTCCTAATTTCTTCAAAAGGCACCACTATTCTTTTAATCACCTAGATTCAGAACCTTCAACTCTTCACTCTCTCTCCTTCCCATATCCAAAGTTATTTAACTCCACAATTCCTTTTCTTCCTTTACTACCCCCTTCGCAAACACACTACTTACAAATGTCAAATACATATGCAAAAACAAATTTTTAATGCCTAATGCTCTGGAGATGTCATCCTTCATTCAAGAATCTTCAGTGGCTAACTACTAGGATAAACTAGAAAATTCTCTGAACTTTAAAGCCCTTCAAAATCTGACCCCAGCCTATATTTTCAGATTTATTTCATATTATTCTCCTTCATAGACTCTATGTTCCAGCCGGACTGATTTACTCACAGGTCTCCAAATATTATACCATTGCTCACCTTCACGCCTTTGTAAACTTCTCCATTCCTAGAATGCTTTTTCCCTCACCACTCTTGGAATCCCAAACTCCTTTAAAGGCTAAGTCCATATGCCATCTCCTATGTGAGGCCTTTCCTGAACCATCCTCCCTCCCCCTAATTGTTAGTACTCTTCCTCACAACAAAATAACTTTTATTTTACTTTGCACATAATTTGTACTTAGCATTGTATATATGATCCTCTCCCTCTCTTCCCCTTAGACCATAAGCTCCTGAGGTTACGAGTTGTTCCATTTTGTCTTTGCATCTCTAGAATCTAGCATAAGGCCTTTACATTGTAGGTACTTAATAAATTTGTACTGAATTAAACTGAACTATGACAGATGAAGCAGGGGTCCATTATTAGGACCCCTGCCCTGGCTTCCCCTTCCCTCCCCTGACTTCACCATCTGGACAACTGATAGTGCCTTCCCCTCCAATGTTAATTTGTCTATGTTTTATATTTATATATACACACATATATATATATGTATCTCCCATGATGGAAAGTAAGCCCTTGAAGGCAGAGTCTATTTAAGTTTTGTCTTTGTATCTCCATGCCTAGCATTTAATATTTGTTGACTCACTGTATGTATGCTAGATATAATTTTTAATAATTGCCTCTTTTGAACACAGGATCACAGAGTTAGAGCTGGAAGGGGCCTTAGTGGTCACTGAGGTCAACTTTCACATTTTACAAATAAGAAAGCTGCTGCTCAGATAGGTTAAATGTCTTAGCCAAGGTCACACAGGTAGGCTAGGATTTGAACCCAAGTCTTTTGATGCAAATTCAGTGCCTGTTCTACTGCATTATTCTCAAATGTAACAAAACCTGGTTATTCTAATATTTATTGTTGAATGCCTACAGGCCAGTGTTTCCTACAACTAATTTAGCTATGCAACATGTTTATGTTTGAAATATATTACTGAACTGTAGGTACTGGTCTAGAGTTTTGTGAATATGGAATACTCCCAGCACAAAAGGGGATAGGAGACATTTTGGAGCAGAGAGTAAATTAAGATTGTTTTTATGCAAAATGATTACAAGAATGTGATACTTTCATATAATTCTATTATCCTATGTCCAAAAAAAATGACTATAGGAATCTCTATTAATTCTTTGGTTTTAAATTCATTGCAAATGATTGCAAAAGATTTTCATTGTCTTAATTCTGAACACTATTTTCATAAGGTGTAATTCATGTAATATAAACCACTGAGCAGCTTCACTGGGCTGTCTTGGAAAATACAATGAACTGTGAACCTTGCTTTCTCCTAAAGACCTAAGAAACTTGTTCCTCTTAGTGCTATGTGATTATCAAATAATGACAAATGTGAAAGCTGTCCTTTGACAGATAATCCTATTGGGTAAGTACCATGGCATTTGATTTACTGTGAACAAAAAAGCCATAAAAGCATCTATTGTATATTTAACCTCCCAAGGAAGAAATTATCCAGCTATTATTTTATTTTATTTTATTTTATCATTGTCAAGAAAAGCATAAACTGGCAGTTTCAAAGAAAATAACAATCAACTCTAAACTCATGCTTAAGGAACTGGTGCCTCCAGGGCCATTCTACTGGGCAATGAACTGCTACAGGGTCCCAAGAAGAAACACAGCACATCAAATTTTTTTTTGGGGGGTGGTGGTGATTTTTTTTTTTTGTGAAAACCTCACATGTGCTATGTTTAGATTACTGTTTATGTACTTTCAACAGTCATGTTCATCTTTACTACCAAAATCATCATTCTGCCAGTTGTCCAAAAGGCCTGGAGTCAACTTTGACTCTCTCCCATCTTTTATCTCTTCTACTGAACCAATTACCTTTTTTTCTTCAAATGTGTCAAAATAGCTCCCCCTATCCAGTGCTTTTCTCTATCAAGAACAATTCCAAACTCCTCAGGCTGGCATTCAAGGTCCTCCACAATATGACCCTCCATTACAGAGCCAATCTATTTCTCACTATTTCCATAATGTACCTTTCACTGAAGTCTCCTCAGTGATTCTTAGAGATGGATGATACTTCAACTCTACTCCTTTGCTTGTAATACCCTCTGCCATTCTCTATAACTATCCAAATCTTATCCATTAAAGTCAGTTCCAATCTGACTTCTTTCAGAAAGTCTTTTCATCTTACTTTTTTTTGAATCATAGACCTATCTTTATTACTTAACTTTTTCAGCTATGTTAAAAATAAAAATTTTACCTGATGTTTGTGTCTTTCCAATGAGCTTTAAAGGACAAAGATTGTGCTTTCTATTTCTTTTGTTTTGTTTACAGGTTCAAACTCAGTTCTAAGAACACAGTACAACTGAATAATCTGCTAAATAGTTTGACATTAGGCAGAGGAGGAGAAAGTCATCAGACAAACTGGGAAGACTTCCAGTCTATTGGGGTCAAGCAACTGGGGCTCAAGTGTCTTAATAAGACTTGGTTAGGCAGAAAAGCTTGAGGACAAAGGAAAGAAAAATTTCCACTCTTTGAGACTAGAAATAAAGCATTTCAGGAGAGAGAAAACCCAACTGACCGGGGATCTGGCTGTCAGAAGTACAGAATTCATCTTCTCCTGCTCAGTGCTCTCTTGCTGGGGAAAGGCAAAGTCTTGAGAAGACAGACCTGGGGAAGAGAAAGAAGCCATGAGAGACCTCCTCCTATCTTGTGGTTCTCTTATAGGCTAGAAATCCTCACAGAAAAGTTGGTGTAATGCTACACCCTCACTCACCAAACACTTTGTGAAAGAATAGTAAAGTGAAGTGAAGTCCAGAAACTACTCCATCTCCATCCTGAATCAAGAAGAAGGACTACTGACATTGCTGTCTGGGTCCTACACTCTTTTTGGTGCTATTAAGCTGTAGGTGTTGCATCTATTACTTATGGTTCCAATGAAAGATCACTCCCAAAGATGACCTGATCACTCAAGGTACAATTCTGAAAATTATGATTAATGTGAGACCCACTCTATGAATGGCATCGATGAAAGCCAAAGCATTCTGTTGCATACCTTACTATCTGTACTCACAATCTTAAATTTCCCATTCTTTCCTGACCAGCTTTTAGGAGTGGGATTAAGTTACGGGTTCAGTAGAATATACCACCTTCAATTCCTTTCCAGAAACATGCCTTGGAGAAAGCAGAGTGAGAGTGCAGTGCTAGGTCCACTTCCACCCCAACAATGGATATAGACAATCTGCCTAGTAAAGGTGTACTAAGCAAATTTTCTAAGGGGAAAAGTAATTCCAGGTAAGAAAAAAATTAATATTTTCCACAGGGGTAAGGCTCTGGCAATCAGTTCCAGATGCAATTTCTTTCCTGGACCATTCATATCCCCTTCTTCTCTGTAAGGCTCACCTTTCTCCCCAAGCATCTATATCAATCCTTCAAAGTCACCCACTCCTCAATGTGTTCTCAATGTTCCAATGTCACTTCAGTCCTGTTTTACCCAGATGGGATGGTCAGGAATTGTTCTGGCAACAGCCACAGCAGGACATGCACGTTCTTCCAGGTTATGTTCTAATACTATGGCCAAAAATTTCAGGTTAGTGGTCTCTCCACTTGGGATAGAATCCAGTGCCCCAGGGCCTGAAAGCTCAGAGGCAAGGTCATTTCACTTTGGTGCTGAGATCTCAGTAGAGAACCCTATTTCTGGTGCCCAGGGCTGTCCACCTGTAGAATCTCTGGAGGACTGATATGAACATAGAGAAGATGGAGTCAGCAAAAGGGACCTAGCAGACCTGGTAATAGGTTGAAACCTAAAGTGCAGAAAGTAGAGAGAACTATGCAAATAGGTATATGATGAATCATAATTTTGTTCTTTAGCAAACTAGCAAGGGACACCTACTATGATTAAACCTTTGTACAAGTTGCTATAGAGAATACAAAAAAGAATAAAACAAGTTCTCTGACCTTCAGGAACTAAAGATCTAGTATAATGATGTTGTCCAGTATATGATGCTAAAGGGTCAAAGTCAAGAGCTCTTGAAATCAACTCACAGTCACTTAGATAGACACAGGTGAATAGGATTCTTCTCTGACACATATCCTGGCTCCCCACTGCACAAAAATAAATAAATAAACAGCTTAACTCTGGCATTAGAGGTCCTTTACAAACTAGCTTCATTAGAACTTTCCAGCTGTAATTCATATGACATCCCACTGGAACGGGAATGACACACTACATTTCAACAATACCAATCCGTTTCTTAGACTGCCCTTTCCTTTCCTGAGCATTTACTAATACTATAATCAAAATCTAGAATCCTATCCCCCAACTCTGCCGACTGAAACTCCTCTTTTTCTTCAAGGCCCTGCAGGAGTGCTGTCCCAGAGTCACCCCCACATCCAGGTGGAAGTAATCTCTCCTTCCTCAAATTTAACGTGGCATTTAGCCACTGCACCTATCAAATAATCCTTCAGGTAAACGCTCCGTGGATACATGTCTTTTCTTCCCCATAAAATTATATGATATGAGGAGGGAGAGAGGCCTACATCTGATGGGGGATCTTTGTACCCACAATGTCTATCACGGTGACATAACACAGAGTGGATGATGGATAGTTAGTGCTGACAGGAAACCGAGGGAATCTTAACTCCTTGACACAAATGTAACCCAAACACACGAGAGCTCTTGTCTCTCTATGTGTAACACACACACACACACACACACACACACACACACACACACACACACTCACCAACCCTCCCGCTCCCCCCTCTCCCTCTCCCCCCCCCGCCTTCTCCTCAGTCCTTAAGCCCGCCCCTTGGCCCGCCCCTCTCAGGGGAGGGAATGGCCCCGATTGCATGCTCGGCGCCAGGCCCCTGGTCTCCTCCCGGACCCGCCCAGTTCGGGTTCAGGGTGCCGCGAGGAACTGGGCCCGGGTCACTAAATACCTGGAATTGGGTCCGGGGCCTGGCCTGACCTCAGATAAAGAACTGGTTCGAGGCCAAAGAACCAATCATGGCGTCGAGGCTGCGCGCGCATTCTTCATGCCGCCTTAGAAGGGAGGGGGGAGACGAGCCTGCGCCTTGGGAGCCTCAGGACTACCAACACCCAGAATGCACCGCTTCCGTTTTCCGGTGGTTTCCTGCGCAAAAGGTCTTGCGGGTTGTCCCCACCAAGTCCTTTTCCTCCTCAGCACCTGGGATACCGGTCCAATCTGTCTACCGAGAGCACTTGGATACCAAAAAACTAAACCCTGCCGGTAGTGAGCAATCTTTCGACAGTCATAGGTCGTGGTCTTTGAAATTCCTTATCTCTTTACTATCACTTATCACCGCATGTTTCCCTTGACAGTGGCTACAGCCCGCCCTTTCCGGTTCTCACAATTTCTGAGTCTGTGGACCAAGAGGATGGTGGAACTCTGTAGCCTGGAGTTGGAGTGGACAAGAGTTGAAAAGGTGGGGAGGGATCGTAGGACTTTGAAATTGTGGTAGAAGAGCATTTCAGCTGGGGTCGATGGGTGGGACAGAAGGATTTCATCCCAGACAGAAACATCTCTGGGAGACCTTCCTTAGTAACTGTCAAAGAACCAGAGGCTCTTTAAGGCTGGATGGGACGCTAGGTGGCGCAGTGGGTAGCGCGCCAGGCCTTAGGTTCAAATACGGGCTCTGACACTTAGAAGCAGTGTGATCCTGGGCACTTAACCATGTTTGCCTCAGTTTTCTCGTATGAAAAATGAGCTGGAGAAAGAAATGGCAAACCACTCCAGTATCTTTGCCAAGAAAACCCCAAAAGGGGATCATGAGGAGTAGGACGCAACTGAAAAACGACCATGCACCACCACTAGTGGCAGCCCGGATCCTTTAGAATGTGACCAGAGAAGGGCGGGGCTGGTGTTGTAAGAAGGGAGGGTTGGCCAGGTAAGGGTTGGATGCGCCTTGAATTAGGGCTTATTTAAAAACAGAAACCTGGATGTGTCTGCACTAATAGTCTCTGTAAGGAGAAATTGATAAATCTTCTTTAGGAACGTGGGAAGGACCCATGACACAGACCTTATTTAGGCTTTTCAAAGAGTTTTGACAAGGCACACCAGGACCCTAGCTATTTTTTTTAAGGGCAGTAATTTAGAGAGAAGATACTTTTTTTGTCCTTTAGAGAATTAGGATAAATACAGAAAACAAAAAGTTGGAATCAGTAGAGGCTTTTTTGAAGGGAAAAGTAGAAATAAAAGGGGTCACCCAGGGCCTAGGGCAGAGACTTGAAATTTAACATGTTTATAAATTATCTGAATGAGGAAGTGCATAGATAAATTTTCAAGGCCTCATCTGGGATGCCAAGTCCATGGAGGATAAATGTCAAAAGATTCTTTAACCTCCTGCAGCACCTACCCCTGCCCTGAGCTCACATGTGGATCTACCCTGACAAGCTACCCCAGATTGAAGGTAGTCTGTGAGTCTGTATCAGTAAAAAACCCATAGGTCCCAGGTCTTTATGGATGTTCCTATTTTAATGGCAAATCCCCTGTGTTAGTACAGACACTTCTTTTTAATTCTTCTGGTTTCTACCCCAACTTTTGAATCTTGGGAAGGAGAGAGTGAAAACTAGGGGTTTGAGAATGAATTAGATTTAAATGAGGCAGAGCTGTGCAAAGTCATCAGCCTCACTCTTTCCTCCAGAGTTATGAGAGTCCAGTTTCTAATGGAAGGCAGAGTTGGTTCCACATAAGGAAAACCATAAATATAACAAACCAGTTTAATAATGTAAATAATAAAAAATCATATGATTTTAACAATAGATATTTAAAATGGTCTTGATGAAATCTAACCCTCACTTTTATGAATAACTAAATCATAGGAGTAAATGGACCTTTACTTAATATAGCAAATAGTATTTATCTAAATATAAAAGCAAACATATATAATAGAGAAAAGTTAGAGACTTCTTCAATAAGATAAGGGTTAAAGCAAGAATACTCCCCCCCTTTTTTTTTTTACCACTAATGTTTACCATTGTGATATGCAAGCTATAAAAATAAGACAAGAAATTGAGGGAATAGGCATATGTAAAATTATCACTTCTTTTGTTTGTTTTTACTTTGGCAATCAGGGTTAAGTGACTTGTCCGGGATCACACAGCTACAAAGTGTTAAGTGTCTGAGGCTGGATTTGAACTCAGGTCCTCCTGACTCCAAGGCTGGAGCTCTATCCACTGTGCCACCTAGCTGCCCCATAAAATTATCACTTTTTGTAGATGATCTGATAGTATACTTAGAGAACCCTAGAGAGTTAACTAAAATTAATTGAAATAATACTTTTGGCAAACTTGCAAGATATAAAATAAATCCATACAAATCATCACTACTCTGACATATAACCAACAAAACCCAGCAAGAAGAGCTAAAAAGAGAAATTCTGTTTAAAATAACTACAAAATGGATAAATTACTTGGAAGTTTATCTTCCAAGATTACCAGGGAGTATAAGAATTTAACTATAAAACACTTTTCAGTAATAAGTACAGAACTAACTAATTGGAGAAACACTAACTGCTCATGGGTATGTTGAAGTGTAGGGGTTTAGGGGTGCTGGGACCCCAAAATCATAACACACGGGTGCTACCCAAAAGAATTCGACCCAAGCCCTCTTTCAGCCAAAGGCTAGAGTCAGGAATCAAACAAGTTTAATTTCAAAGTGAGGGCAACAGTTTGTAAGCTAGGACACATGGCGGGGCCCTGCCCCTAGTGGGGGGTTCCACTTTAGTGTGGCCAAATATCAATAGTGTGGCCAAATATCAGTACTTACTCAATACTTATACTAATGGCTGTGCAATGAACTATAGCCCTGACAATGAGGGGTAACAGTAACAATGAGACAAACTTGATTCATAGCAGGGCTTCATGACCAGAACATAGGTACTTGTCTGAACTGGTCTGGTGCTTGTTAGGGATCAGAGAACACCTGGTGCTGGTCAAAGCAATACAATAATTATGTGATTTTGTCAGAGGGTGAGTGAAAAGGGTTGTTATGCCAAGCTCAGGGCACAAGCTTGCTTGCTGGGCCTTAGCTCTGGAAAACAGGGTGTCTCCATCAGTGCAGTAGCTGACCTATTGATGCCATATTCATCCTCATTGAAGGCATCTGACAACATTGCTGAAAACATCATGCTGAAAAGTATGGGAGTAAGCACATAGCCTTACTTAACTCCATTGGTGACTGGGAAAGCATGAAAGCATTGTCCATTATCCAGAACCAGGGCAAGCATACCATCATGAAATTGACATATAATACTAATAAACTCTGGCCAACCAAATTTTGACATTATTTTTCATAAGCATTCATGACTGACAGTATCAAATGCCTTGGTCAGATCGGCGAATATGTACAGACCTCTGTTCTGTTCCTGGCATTTCTCCTGAAGTTGTCAGGCAGCAAACACCATATCTACCATTGGTCAGCCCTTTCTGAAGCCACACTGGCTCTCAGGTAGATGAACATCTTTCAGATGAAGGATCAGCCTATTAAGGTAAACTCTGGCAAGAATCTTGCCAGCAATGACTAAGAGAAAGACCCCCCTCCTGTGATTGTCACAGGACAACCTATTTCCTTTTCCTTTATAGAAATGCCTCAATGGAGACGTCCTTGAACTTCTGGGGGATAACTTCTTCTTGTCATATAACCCAGAAGATTCCAGTTAGCTTTTGTATGAGCAGTGAACCACCTACCTTGTAAATCTCAGCTAGAATCTCAGTACCAGGTACTTTGCCACACCAGATGAACATAACAGCATTCAAAACCTCTTCTTCAGTTGGAAGTTTGGCTATAGAGGGATTGACTTCAACCTGAGGTATATGGTCAGTGGCTTCAGCATTGGTTGATGATGGTCTGTTGAAAACACCATGGAAGTTTCAATCCATCTCTCCAGAATCATATCCTTGATCACTAACCAAAGTGACTCCATCGGAGCTGAGTAGTTGAGATGCACTCTAGATCTGTGACCCATATATAGCCTTTAGGAATCATAAAAGTGCTTTGGATTGTTACTATCAGTATAAAACTGAATTTCATCTGCTTTTTTACTGAGCCAAGAATTGTTCACATCTCTAAGTTCTGCTTGTACTTTACTTTTGGTGGAGTTAAATGCTGCCTTCTTAGAGATGGGTGAACAATCCTGCTGGTGGCGTTTTTGTTTTTTGTTTAGCAGCTTCTGAATTTCCCCGTTACTTTCCTCAAACCAATCTTGATGTTTGAGTGTTCTGGCTCAGATGAGTAAATGAACTGCTGTATACCAAACCTCTGAAAGCTTTTTACTCCTTTTCTGCTCTGCTATTGCCAACTGTGTTGACTCAGCTTTCCTTCCAAGTTAGCAACAAACTGTATACGCAGAGAGAAGCATTCCAATCCATTGACATTAAGTCTTCTAGTAGTCATCATGCCTTGGGGCCACCACTTTGGTTGAATATGAATGTTTAGCTTGGAGAGGATAAGTCTATGATTGGCGCAGCACTCTGTGCCACCCATCACCTTCATCACTCTCAAATCCTATCTCTTTTCCTTAGAAAGGCATAGTCTATTAAAAGCCAATGTTTGCTGTGAGGGTGCATTCATGAAATTTTATTGCATTTAGGTAAATGGAAGACAATGTAGGTGATGAGAAAGCCATGAGATACACAAGTCTTCAGGATTAAGTGACCATTGTTGTTGTTGTTTCTGACTCCACTCTTCCCAAGATCTCCCTGCCATGTCTGAAAGTCTCTGCTTACTCTGGCATTAAAGTCACCCAGAATTACAAGCTTGTCATCTTTTGGCACATTGATCATGACGGTCTCCAGGTCTTCATAAAATTTTTCTTTGACTTCATCAGGGTTCATCATGGTGGGAGCATATGCACTGATGATGGTGGTGTGCCACTTTCCTACAAGTCTCAATCCCATTGTCGTGAGAGAGTCATTCACTGCTTTTGGGAGACATACAAGCTTGTTGACTAGATTAGTTTTGATTGCAAAACCTATGCCAGCTTCATGGCATTCCCCATGCCAGTAGCCACTACAGAAAAACATGTATCCAGCTCTGACTTCAATAAGCTGGCCTTCATTTGCCAGCC